TAACTTTGTCATGATAGTCTTTCTGGTTCAAAATCACTGTGCACCTTCCTTTGTCTGCTGGTTGTCAGCAGCAAACTGGTTGATCCACTCTGAGAAGGTGCTATTTATAAGACTGAGCTGAATACAGCACCTCAGACTGAGGAAGTCTTTCAGATGAAAGACGAAACGTTTCTACATTTTTTTGTTTTGTTTTTTGAACGTCCACAGGACCAGATTTAACATTTTTAGATTTTTTACCTGGATTATTGAGCATGCATCAGGATATTTTGAAGCCTAAATTAGCAGAAAGAAGGATAAAAAAAACCCCACATATTTGCTGAGTTATGTTTGAATAAGCAGAAATGAGCACAAAAACTAAGACATTAGCTAAAAACATCTGACATTAGCAAAAATAGCTACAAAGTAGCTGAAAATGCAGAAAGAAATTTAAATTACCAGAAGGAGCTGGAAAGAGCTGAAATGAGCTAAAAAAAAATGTGGAATTAGCTGAAAAAGCTTAAATTATCATAAAAACAGCTAAATGGTAGCTGAAATTGAAGAAAAAGTTTAAACTTGCAGAAATAATTTGAAAGGAGCATAACAAGCTGAAATTAGCAGAAAGAAGTTAGAAGATGCACAAAAATGTTGTAGTTAGACGGAAAGAATCTGAAAGGAGCACAAAACAGCTTAAATTAGTTGAAAGTAGCTGAAATAAGTTTAAATTTGCTGAAGGAAGCTGAAAGAAGCTGAACCAAAACAAAATGTGAAAGGAGCAGTAAAAGGCTGTAAACAGATCTAAAGATTTGAAGGATGTAAAATGAGCTCAATTCAGTTTCTACGAGAAAAAAAGTGGCAGAAAAGACAAAATATTTCAAAACGCCTAAAGTCAGGATTGTCCTGAGCTGAACATTTTGATTTATGATTTTGTTGAAATAGCAAAAAAATTGTGGAATGAGAAAGATGCTGAAAAACGTACAGAAGAAAAATGGATCATAGTAGAGTGAACGCTTCATAAACATTCCCACAGTGAGTGCACAGATATCAGATTAAAAGCTCAGTCGTGTCTCTGCCTCCAAAAGGTGAACAGAATGGGTCATTCCAGCAGCAATGAACTGTTTTATCCTAAATTCTAGTTGTGCTCATGAAGTGATGATTTTAAATTAGCGTCTGTTTGTCCAAAGGACCTTCATTCTGTATGAAAAATAATTGATGATGATTGAAGATTATATGAAAATATTTAAACAATAAGTTAAAATCAAATGACATCAAAGTTTTCCAGTGGCAAAAATACCAACTAGATACAAACAGGACACAAAAACTGTGTCATCATGGAAATTTTGAAAAGAATAAGTTGTAAACATGAGTCAGAAATGAAATATTTCCAGCTGCTTTTTGTGAACTTTAGATCTGTTCGAAAGGCAAACCTGGTAGATCTGAGAAGTCCACCTGAGGCAGCTCACTTGTGAAATGATAAAAGAATTATGTATTTATTGTTGGATTTAAGATCAGTGTTAGTATTTTTTATTGGATTCATTGGATATGAAATCATCTGAAATGTGGTAAAAATGTTGTAAAATGTAGTTTGTATTTCATTATACAGTCTAAAACTTTTCAAAACAATAGAGCATTTATTTTGAAAGTCAAATTCAAACTGCAGGCCCATGTTTTTGCTGCAACAGTCAGAAGAATGAAGCTTCAGTTGTTTTGCTTAGAAACTCTCCCTACTCTCCATATTATTTTAGTTGTTAGTTTTGTTTATATTATATATTTTTTATAATATTTAATTTTCTCATTTTCTCCTTTTTGACCCATTTCCAGCTGATATGACTATAGCTGTGATGTCATCAATGCTCTTTTGGTCCACGCAGTGTTGCCAGATAGAGTTGAGGTTTACCAGCCCAAAAATCTGTTAAAAACTGCCACATCACACAAAAACCTGCCCAGTCAAAATATTGTTACAGTATATTTACTGTTTGAACATGAACGCACATCAGTACAAGCCAAGGTAATTATACACATACACACTAGGGGTGTAAATCACCAGCTTTACCGCGATACGATATTATATCGATTTGTTTGACGATACGATTTTTCTCGATATCACAAAGTCTGTCAC